ACTAGTACTAGTAGTAGTAGTAGTAGTACTACTACTACTACTACTACTACTACTAGTACTACTACTACTACTAGTACTACTAGTACTACTAGTACTACTAGTACTACTAGTACTTTCTAGTACTACTACTACTACTACTAGTACTACTAGTACTACTAGTACTACTAGTACTACTAGTACTACTAGTACTACTAGTACTAGTAGTACTAGTAGTACTAGTAGTAGTAGTACTAGTAGTAGTAGTAGTCGTCGTAGTCGTAGTAGTCGTAGTAGTCGTAGTATATAGTAGTAGTCGTAGTAGTCGTAGTCGTAGTCGTAGTCGTAGTCCTCGTCGTCGTCGTCGTCGTCGTCGTAGCAGTAGCAGTAGCAGTAGCAGTAGCAGTAGCAGTAGTAGTAGTAGTAGTAGTACTACGGCCAGGACGGATGTGCTGCCCGGGAAAGTGCGTTTTGACTGCGCAGGGCCAATGTTTTGTGAGATTCCCCGTGTCGTTCGTTTGGGCAAACGGATGACGAATTTTTCCCTCATCATTCATCATCAACATCATCATCATCATCAGCATCATCAGCAACAACATCAACATCATCAACATCATCAACATCCCAATTGAATGTAAAGTTTAACGGGGGTGGGAGTTTACTATTCCCTAATACCCTTGTTGATCTTCCCAATTGAATGCAAAGTTTAACGGGGGTGGGAGTTTAATATTCCCTAATACCCTTGTTGATCTTCCCAATTGAATGTAAAGTTTAACGGGGGTGGGAGTTTAATATACCCTAATACATTTGTTGATCTTCCCAATTGAATGCAAAGTTTAACGGGGGTGGGAGTTTAATATTCCCTAATACCCTTGTTGATCTTCCCAATTCAATGTAAAGTTTAACCGGGGTGGGAGTTTAATATTCCTTAATACCCTTGTTAGTGGGAGAACCTCCACAGAGTCAACCCCTAACTTGGTTGACCCTCTGGAGGCCCCGCCACCGGGTCCACGTATTCGGAGTTCGGAACGTAATTGTACAGAACAAAAAACGATACTTTATGCATACTTAGTAGAAATCACAAGGTCAACAACTAACCAAAAACATTAGTTTCTGTGGACCCGGTTGGACTTTATGTAAACTTGCTAGAATTCACAAAGTCAACAACTAACCAAAAACAATAGTTTCTGTGGACCCGGTGGGAGCGCCTCCACAGAGTCAACCCCTCACTTGGTTGACCCTCTGGAGGCCCCTCCACCGGGTCCACGTATTCGGAGTTCGGAACGTAATTGTACAGAACAAAAAACGATACTTTATGTATACTTAGTAGAAATCACAAGGTCAACAACTAACCAAAAACATTAGTTTCCGTGGACCCGGTTGGACTTTATGTAAACTTGCTAGAAATCACAAAGTCAACAACTAACCAAAAACAATAGTTTCTGTGGACCCGGTGGGAGAGCCTCCACAGAGTCAACCCCTCACTTGGTTGACCCTCTGGAGGCCCCTCCACCGGGTCCACGTATTCGGAGTTCGGAACGTAATTGTGCAGAACAAAAAACGATACTTTATGTAGACGTGGCGGAAGCGCCTCCACAGCGTCAACAACTAGCTCAGTCGACTCCCTGGAGGCCCGTCCAACGAGTCCGCGTGCTGACAACACGGTATACCTACAAGAATAACGATTCACCAACAACAAGCACACAAACATTCCAGCTGCTTGGGTGAGCTTTTCAAACTCCAAAAGTTTCTTTCCAACCGATTCTTGTCCAAAATGCCTACCTTATACATCTAACGTTAGAAATCGGCAAACTCTTCAACGCAATTTCCACGAAGTCATGAATCCGCTTGTTGATCTTCCCAATTGAATGTAAAGTTTAACCGGGGTGGGAGTTTAATATTCCCTAATACCCTTGTTGATCTTCCCAATTGAATGCAAAGTTTAACGGGGGTGGGAGTTTTATATTCCCTAATACCCTTGTTGATCTTCCCAATTCAATGTAAAGTTTAACGGGGGTGGGAGTTTAATATTCCCTAATACCCTTGTTGATCTTCCCAATTCAATGTAAAGTTTAACGGGCCTGGGCGTAGTAGTCGTAGTAGTAGTAGTAGTAGTAGCAGTCGTAGTAGTAGAAGTAATAGTAATAGTAAAAGTAGTAGCAGTAGTAGTACTAGTAGTAGTAGTAGCAGTAGTAGTAGTAGTCGTCGTCGTCGTCGTAGTAGTAGTAGTCGTAGTAGTAGTAGTAGTAGCAGTAGTAGTAGCAGCAGTTGTCGTAGGAGTAGTAGTAGTAGTAGTAGCAGTAGTAGTAGTACTAGTACTAGTAGTAGTAGTAGTAGTAGTAGTATCAGTAGTAGTAGTAGTAGTAGTCGTCGTCGTCGTCGTCGGCGGCGTGCTTGCGTTACAAACAGTCGCACCTCCTCTTGCCTCTCCCTCCTGTCTTTCCCCCCCCTACCTTTCGTCCCCCCCTCTCAAGTCTGTAAAACAGCCACTGGGGTCTAATATTTCACGGGCTGGACCCCGCCCGCGGCCACCCAACGGGTGTGTGTTTAGGGAACCCTAGATCCAAATTAAAGAGTTACAACACTTGTGGTCAACGAGGCGGCACGCTACACTCTTTTCTGTGCTGCGGAAACAAGTCTTGAGCCACGGAATGGCGCAGTGGTACATGTATGAATTAGAGTGAACATGTCACACGTGATGCAAACTGTAATGCATCGTGTAGACACGTCCCAAAGAGTAGGTTACAGTACCCGGTCCCTAGGTCCCCTCCATGACCCTTCAAAGCACAGTAAATCCAGAATGGTCGTTATTCATCCATAAACCAAAGTTACAAAAAACCACCCCCTAACCCCCCGGCCCCCAAGTCCCCCCCTGCGTCCCTTAAAAGTAGACACTAAATGGTTGTTTTTTAAAACATAAGGCAATGATGGCTGCCTGCATGCCCCCAAGTCCCTCCCTAACCCCTTTCCCCTGGTCCCCAACGTAAACCGTAAATGTGTTTTTTTAAATTGTTCTTGTGCATGAAGAAAATGAAGGTATGTCCAGATGAAGTTGGGCGCATTGATGGCAAGCATCCGCGAGAATCACAACAGCATTCATGGATGATGTCTTGCAGCCCGCCGAGGATAAAAGATTTGAAACCTCGACACATTTCTTCCCAGCAACCTTGAGTTTCCACGAGCCCGCGTGGCCACACAACCCTTGAGTTTTCAAAGTGGCGATTTTTCCAGCTGGCAAGATCGGATTGATTTCCCCAATGGCAAACTTCGACGGACCTTCCCGTTTTTCATGTCAAATTTTGTTTGGATAGACATTCACTAGGAGCTTGACCTGGGCACACATGTGTCATCATGTTTCAAACTACGTGACAACACGGGTGTCCCCACATTGTCTTCAATTTTTGAGTCGTTGCGTGATCCGTTTGACCAGAAATGGCTAGGGGGCAATTGTATAATCAGACGACGCTGGTTTTTAGATTTCCGAAATTGAAGAAATACATAATTTGAAGAGTGCCATCCCAGGCCACATCCGCTTTTCCCTGCATGTGCCAGCGGGCATTAGCAAACCCAAATCATTTAAGGCGGAACCTTTGTCCATTCCAGGATGCGATAAGCCTTGAAACAATTTTGGGAAAACATATTCCTCAAGATTCGTGTGCTACCAACCTTGGGCCTGATGATATCTGATGATCCTAAACAAGAATTGTGTTGCGCGCCCGACTGACTACAGAGACCAAATCCATGGTCAGATTGAAACCTTTATGGTTTTCGTTTCATGAAGTGAATGGACGTCGTAGATTTGCGTAGATCCACCATGGTTCATACATGAGATCCCAGATCCGCTTGGATCCGACCTACATTCCAAGGTTTCATGTTTTTTGTTTTGCATTTGTTCCGGTATGCCCCTCAATAAAAAATGTCCGAAAATGGCAATATGACAAGCTGGCTGCTCAGCAGTGACACCAAGATGCGCGAATCATAAAATCAATTTGTTTTACTTACTCAAACTGACCGATTCGCGGAACCTGCATCGGCTGGATGGCGCGGAAGTGTTCCAAACCAATGCTCAAAACCACGAAAGGCCACGCATTTTTCTTCAGGATGTCTTTGGAGGAATTCCCTTGGCATTCATTGATTGGAACCCCAAAGAACTTCTAGAAATGCCAAGCGCCTCCGAACAGTTAGAAAAATAGGTGTGTCTGGTTGAAAAAATTAGCGCACCTGGTTGCGGAAATGTTTTCCTTTCCAAGATTTCATTTTAACGGCGGCGCATGAAGACACAACCAACTTCAGGTAGTCCTTCATGATAACGAGATTTTGTGTAAGGGAAATGTGTTTTTTGTTGGTGACAGTCTGTGTCAAGGAATGCTGAACGTTTGAAAGGAGTATATATTGACGAATGTTGCATGCGACGTCGATATAGTAGTATGATATAGTGTTTGAAAAATGTCAGTAAAGAAAGGCTGAAACGCTACATGTTTGCGGCAAAGTATGCGCATTTGCCTCAGGCACCTTTAAAAAAAAACCTAAAGGAACAAACGCTGCATATTATGTTAAAGAAATTTAAAGAACATATTCCGTGAAATGAGGAAAAACAACTTGCAAAATAATAGTGCATTTGCAAGGAAAGCGATTCAACATTTAATCGAACATGATCAGAAAATGTTACAAACCTGTTTGAACCCTCATGCAATTTTGGTTTGGGACCCATTGCTGGTACCAGTCCGTCTTGGTGGTTTCTATGATTTCAAACATTTTCAAACCGGCCGATTTTTGTCGAGGATATTTTTTGACTGAAAGCATTTGTAGCATAATTTGTTCGATTTGCCGAGTCCTTGTGGAATCACATTGTTTTGTTTCAGCATGCCATTTCAAACCTTAGGGCATTGGCGCGTCGTGAATATCACATCGAAACAGTAACACTGAAAAGGTGCCAGCAATTGGTTGGAAATGTTTGCCAAGCTGGATTAATTCACACTTGAGTTTGTAATTGTTTCCTGCATTCTGACCCGCCTGCGTGCTGCAGCAATTTCTTTAGCCGATATATAGCCGTCAGTAGCCATGAGGTAGGAGGTGCAAAAATTCGGTGGTGCAAGGTCACGACGCCGCATTAGAAAATTCTGCGCTGGCAAGGGCGCACAGAGCAAAAGGCACCGTTTTTCATTGGAGAAGCGACTCCCAGATTCAATGCATTCCCGGAACACTGTCAATGGTTTGTTTCCGCTTCAGGTTTTTCATGCAAGCATTGAATAAAAAAATGTCGGTCTGAAACTGAGAAGATGTAGTCACTGCAGTGCTTTTCATTTGTGGGGCACGTTCTGCCAAAGAGTGGCGAAATGGATCATAATGATACCGATTGCAACATTTGGATCAGTTTTGATCAGTTTTGCTGACATTTCCAATCACATGGGGGGATTGTGGCTAAGGAACGGTCCAGAAGTTTCATTCATCCAGCATCGGCCTTGTAGTGTATGGAACGAAATCCATGCTATGCGTTTGTCCAGAAATGTCCAGAATGTGCCTGCAACTGTTGAATCTATGGGTTAGGCTGGAAGAAACGTCTTCGACTCAAGTTTGGGTGTGAAAAGTGCTATGTGTCTCAGTATGGGCCAGCACTTTAAGTCATTTTGTGAAGCAAATTGTGTTTTCTTCAAGAAAAGGAGGGACAGGGTGTTTTGCACACAGCCAGGTGGAGTTGTTCAACGAGATGGTCTTTTCAGCGAACGGGCCTCAACATTGGCGTGACATCTTCGCTCACGCCACTGGATGTGCTTCCTTATCACCTGGAAGGCTGCGAGCAATGGCCTCCGTTCCAGATGATTGGTGCTTAGCACACTGCAATGCATACTGCAACCGTAGAAGTAACATTGCTTTGCGTGGATTGCGCTTAGGGTGTGTTAGCCGTCACGGATCTTTGCAAAGTCAGGACTTCATCAATGATGGCTGGGATTTTTCAACTTTTCAGCATGGAGGCTGGCGAGGATTTGCACAAATTAGCTGGATGTGCCGGCCTCCATACTTTTGTTTGAACCACAGGCGGCAAGGGCGGAAGTATGATGGCTTTTGTCGAAGACAAATTCATCATCAAGGCCAACATGTTGCAAGCCGAATCCAGTTTGCACACCAATATTCAATAAAGACTTGCACTTGAAGGAGTTGAGCCCTGGCGACCACAAGAGCCTCCTTGAATTAGCTCCTGCATACGGTCATGGGCTGAAGGGAAAAGAAACAAAATCAAGCAGGGACACTGCGGTGATGATTTATGAAACCCTGGTCAACATCCATGCGATACTGGTGTGGTCAAGCAGAATATCTTCAACTTTTGGTCCCATTTGGAAGAGAGTGTGCAGCATTCAGAAACAAGTCCAAGCTGGAATCACTTGCCAAGGGCGCCACGTAAACCGCGGAATCACAACCTTGCACAGCCCTCAGCCTTTGAACGCGACAGTAGCAGGTTGGAACAATTAGCTGGTTGCTCTCTTCATGCCATCCTCCCCAGAAAGCATGTTTGTGTCGTGAGGTTATCGCCAATTTATTTACATTTTAGCTGCTCAGCTGCACTTTGTCGACCTTCTATGCATTCATGGCGAATACATGTTCTCTTAGGAGACGAGGAAAGTGGAAAGTTCTACTTCGCCATGAAGAACACAATCGGAAAAGGACCATTCAAGGCACGCATTCTTTGCCAACAAAACTTTCGCCAGAGAGGTATGCGTTTTTTGGCTGTCATGGGCAGTCCCCCTGTAGCAGATGAACTACAATACTACAAATAAATGCTTTAGCCACTGTTAGTCCACGGTAAATTTGGCAACATTTGTGCACCCACATTGTTTGGGACTCTGATTGGTGTCGTGGAATCGAGGTGTGCTATGACCTAAAAGGTTGTGCCGATGACAAACTGATGGAGAAGAGTGGTGCTTGCCTCAAGCACCAGGGCAAGCAACCACCAATTCAATAATTTGCATGCATGTCACGAAAGGTAGCTCCAGAGGGGCTACCTTGAGTTTTACTTTACGAAGTAAAGGGGAGGGCGGCCAGCCCCGTTACCTGATTCTTCAGGAGATTGCTAGTCATTTTAGTAACCCCCCCCCCTCCACACCTCCCACGCACCCTAAGAGCAGACTCAAAACATTGTAATTTACAGTATTTTTGTTCTTTTTGGATCAAGAAACCACATTTTGCTACATGGTGAAACCTCCGTAAATACCAGTGTTTTTGCTAGGTGCTGGCCAAAAAACACTGTAAATACCGTGCTTTTTACTACCAGAGGCAAAAAACATCGTAAATACTGTGGTTTTGGGCTTCCGACCCGCCAAAAACATCGGTATTTACGGTGTTTTTTGCTCCGAGAGTTGCAAAAACACGCGAACACACCACCGATTTGACGATTTTCGGCCACTACGGAACCGAGCAAAAACGCTGCAGGGGTAACACCAACACCAACAACAACAACACCAACAGCAACAACAACAACAACAACACCAACAGCAACAACAACAACAACAACAACAACACCAACACACAACGCACAACGCACAACGCACAACCAACAACACACAACACACAAAACACACACAACACACGCACAACACACACAACACACGCAACACACGCAACACACGCAACACACGCAACACACGCAACACACACAACACACACACAACACACACAACACACACAAAACACACACACACAACACACACGCACACACAACACACACAACACACAAAACACACACAACACACGCACACACAACACACACAACACACAGAACACACAGAACACACACACAACACACAACAACACACAACAACACACCACAACGCACAACAACACACCACAACACACAACAACACACAACAACCACAACAACCACAACAACCACAACAACCACAACAACCATAACAACTACAACAACAACGACAATGACAACAATAACAACAACAACAACAACACACAACAACACACAACAACACACAACAACACACAACAACACAACAACACACAACAACACACAACAACACACAACAACACACAACAACACACAACACACATACAACACACATACAACACACACACGCAACACACGCAACACGCACAACACTCACAACACACAACAACACACACAACACACACGCACACGCAACACACACAACACACACAACACACACAACACACAACAACACACCACAACACACAACAACACACAACAACACAAAACAACACACGCAACACACAACAACACACGCAACACACAACAACACAACAACACAACAACAACACACAACAACACACAACAACACACAACAACACACACAACAACACAAACAACACACAACAACACACCACCACACACCACAACACACACAAGAACACACAAGAACACACAACAACACACAACAACACCACAAAACACAGCAACACACCACAACACACAACAACACACAACAACACACAACAACACACAACAACACACAACAACACACAACAACACACAACAACACACAACAACACACAACAACACACAACAACACACAACAACACACAACAACACACACAACAACACACAACAACACACAACAACACACACAACAACACACAACAACACACAACAACACACAACAACACACAACAACACACAACAACACACAACAACACACAACAACACACAACAACACACAACAACACACAACAACACACAACAACACACAACAACACACACAACAACACAAACAACACACAACAACACACAACAACACACCACAACACACCACAACACACCACAACACACACAACAACACACAACAACACACAACAACACACAACAACACACAACAACACACAACAACACACAACAACACACAACAACACACAACAACACACAACAACACACAACAACACACAACAACACACAACAACAACAACAACAACAACAACAACAACAACAACCAACAACAACAACAACCAACAACAACAACAACAGCAACAACACACAACAACACACAACAACACACAACAACACACAACAACACACAACAACACACAACAACACACAACAACACACAACAACAACACAACAACAACACAACAACACACAACAACACACAACAACACCCAACAACACACAACAACACACAACAACACACAACAACACACAACAACACACAACAACACACAACAACACACAACAACACACAACAACACACAACAACACACAACAACACACAACAACACACAACAACACACAACAACACACAACAACACAACAAAACACAACAAAACACAACAAAACACAACAACACACAACAACACACAACAACACACAACAACACACAACAACACACAACAACACACAACAACACACAACCACAACAACACACAACAACACACAACAACACACAACAACACACAACAACACACAACAACACACAACAACACACAACAACACACAACAACACACAACACCACACAACAACACACAACAACACACAACAACACACAACAACACACAACAACACACAACAACACACAACAACACACAACAACAACAACAACAACAACACGAACACGAACAATACCAACACCAACAACACGACCAACAACACCAACACCACCAACAAACCCAACCACACCAACAACACTAACAACACTAACAACACCAGAAACACTACCACCACCAACAACACCAACAACAATACCAACAACACCAACAACACCAACACCATCAGCAGCACCAACACCACCAACACCACAACCACCACCAACCCTAACCACATCGCCGAAGCCTTTCAGTGGCTTTTACCAGACTCCCCTTCATATTTTTGGAAAGAAAATGGCCGCGTCGCTTTTACCAGAATCCACTTTATGTTTTTTTCCCTGCCCTTTCCCCTTCATTTTTTCTTCGGTTCCTTTCTTGCTTACCTACCTTTCGTGTTCCCCCTCTCAAGTCGTTTTCAACAACCCTTGAGAGGGGACAGCAGGATGGTGATTCCTGTCAGCATAGTCACATACTTATTCTATCTTATTCTCACACATTTTCATCACAAGATCACACGGACGGGATACTACCAATAAGTATGCATTAAAAATGTGTTGTTTTTGTTTTTTCGTGCTGAAGCTCTGAGGAGAAAGAGTCAAAGCCGTGCACAAGCGGCCGCTCAGTTGAACTGCTATTGGCTGACATCAGTTGATTTTGCTGTTGATAACCCGTTTCCGCACTTTTCTTGGCTGTCAGCTGTCAGTTCCGAGCAGTGGCCAGGATATGGAACGTTGGAATGTGGTGTGGTGCCATCCTCGCTTCAAATCCTGTTGAAATGATAGCAGCTACGTAGCACGGTTTTGTCTCAGTTTTCTTTGCCGGAAGTGAGCAGGTCAAAGAAACTGGACAGAGGAACGCAAGCGTCTCTCGGAGAGAAAACTCCACCCCGATTGGGGCCAAGGTGATGCAAGCACTAATGTAGTTCTGGGGAAAAATCTAAAGCCCCAAGACCCACCAACTTGATCCAATTTGATCTAATTTGTCGATATTTATCGATGTTTTTATTTTTGCCCCCTCTTCCAGTATCGAGTCAGGAAGGCTGCATTTGTTTGGACATACTGTAGTCAGGTTACTACGCCGGAAAGCTGGAAGCGCGATCTGTGCAGATTGTCTTCAGCTCATTAACTCCACTTGCTGACAACTTAATGATGACAAAGTCCGATAAAAGGGCATGTGCGGTCAACCGAGGGCCTCCTGCAAGAGCAGCGACAAAATCTTTTAGATGCGACGCTTCCTCAGTTGTGATGCTGCGTTCGATGCTGCTGTTTGGCACATGGAAGAACAATTCAATCGCAAGGTTGTTGCTGGCCAGTGTCACTCAGGCTGAAGCGGGACACAGACTTTCTTGCAGGCACGCTGCATTTTATACATGTTTTTTGCATCAAGAAATCCTTGACGGCATGGGCAGCTTGGATCAGCTTGGAAGGTCACAAGCTGATGGACTACAGTTTCCTTGTAGCGATCAAGGTGGGAGCGGATGGGCTTCAAAGTATCTTGAATGCTGTGTGATGCTGTGTGTTTCGCTTCCAAGCTGACAGGAGTCTCCACCAGGCTCTACGTCGTCGAATCACCTCCAACCATTTAGGCCAGAAGACACGTCTTCACCGAGGGAAAATCAGTGCCGTGTTGCTCAGTATTGGTGCATATTCATGGCCTTCGGTACTTGCAGCCTGCATCGTCAGGTATTTGAGGTCAGATGGCAAGGACTGAGATTGGCATGTTGCTTCTTAGGCTGCTTGAGGAGGTTCAGTAACGATACGGATACCTAAGATGCCATCTGCCATGGGAAAGCTCTATCAGGAGATTGCGGTGTACGTCGCCATCATTGACTTTTTGCAAATTTGGACGGCTGGCAAAAGGATAGCAAGGCCATGACATGTTTCAATATGTTACCATCTTATGGAAGAACTGATCATGTCACCACCCACCATGATAGCACAACATAGCACAACAAAATCGGCATTTTTTGAGCCTCAGCAGGTGCATCAAAGTGTGCGAGCGCAATAAGGCAACTCAGCAGTGTTGGCATTCTTTCCAAGGGAGATGCGTGTGACTGTATAGCCATCCTGGAGTCGATGGAATCTGAAAACATCAAAATAGTTTCAGTAAAGTGGGAACATGCTTGAAACTACAATGTTTTTCATGTTCTTCTGTCTACTTCAGCATCATTTAGTTGTACATATGTATATATATATATACATATATTCTATATATATATATATATACCTTTATGTGGATCTACTTAGGAGCCGTTTGGCATGATATTTGAAACCTTAACTTTGCATTGTACTCGTTTTTTTCTGAGGCGACCATACCACCCAAGTCCTATGCTGGGCGCTTTGTGAAGCACTTCAGCGAGCACGTGATCGAAGTGGATGAGGTTTTGGAAACTGCATTTCACTGTGCCCTCTGATGATTGAACAGAGTGCTATGGAAAATTGATGAAAATTGCCCATTTAGTTCGATGATCTGACTATTGAGAATGGTGATTTTCCATTGCAAGCAGTTAAAGGTCCAGGGTACTTTACATATCCGGTGGAAGGAAGCAGCTCCTGACCCCTTGGACTCAGACTTCGTGGAGGCCATTCCTCGCTTCTTGGGACATCCAGCTGGATATGAATCATGGAGTGACAAGGCACCCACGCTTAACCCAGTCCCTCCAAGAAAGTCATACTTTTGGGGCTTTAACACAGTCTTTCTTGTCGTTGTTTCCTACATTAAGCAAGATAATTTTGCAAGATTTGTTCGGGTAGACAAGTTCAAGCTGCTATCGATCTCGGCGGAGGTGCCTCTTGAGGTCCAGTCGATCAGGGCACAGCGGACGCTGCTTGGATCATTGGAGTTGCAGCCGGGCACGATGGAAAGACCATGAGAATTCACGAGATGTGGATGGGCTAAAATGGGCTAAACGTTGCAACATACTGGTAGTGGCATTTGGGGGGGTGAACATCCAATGTACCAGCCATTTCGATATTCACCCGGGTATAAACATTGCTGCAAGCACTTGAGGCTTTACAACAACTCCAACAGGAGGAAGGGCAAATGATTGTGATTCGACTCCAGCTGAAGCCTCAGTTCATTTCAGTTCACAACGGATGGTGGATGTGCTCAAGTCGTGCCATTTGTTAGTCACTGAGGCGTCTGCAAAGCAGTTGGAAGTCGATTTCCAATAGATCCATGTTTCACCAATAAATCTCCGAGGGCAACAACCCAGTAGATCATTGAAATTCTTTCATCAGAAACCGTTCAAAATGTAATTTGGCTTAACAAATGGGTATAAGAAGATATGAGAAGATATACGTAGTGAAATAAATAGAATCTTCGTTGGGTTGCGAAATGCATTCCATATGTGTGCAATTTTAAGGTGCACATGTGTATGCAGAAAATAATTAGCATATATGCAATAAAGTGTTTCATACAATATGTGTATATATATATAGATATGTATATATATATATATATATGATCTGATGAAAGATCATGATAGATTAAATAATAAGATGTAATATTATATTTGAAAAACATTGTGTAAATCATGCCCATGTTATTCATTGTAAAGACCTCTCCTGATAAGGTTGTTTGATGACTATTTTGGTTCCAGATGAAAACAGGCCGCCGCCATTGCCCTGGGTGTGTGCGCGGTGGTTTAATTGTTTACCCCTCTTTTCTTGGTCGATTAGACGATTCAAGTGGTTATCAGCTGTATCGGCCTTTGATTGTTTGTTGAGTTTGGGGGGAATCTTTCATCAGGGTTTGGGGTCCCTTTAAAATAACCCTCGTCCATGTGTGATCGCTCTCGCTCCCGGAGCCCGGCTAAAGGAATTCCCAAGAAATCTGCGGCCTCAACAAAATCTGCAGCCTTAACCAAGAGGATTGCGCGGCGAGCCTGAGAATTCACGAGGAACCTGCAACCTGAACCAAGAGGATTGCATGGCTCCAATGGATACCCGAGGAATTTATGAGGAACCTGCAGCCTGAACCAAAAGGATTGCGCGGACACCCTAGGAATTCAAACGAAATCCGCAACCTGAACCAAGAGGATTGTGCAGATACGCTAGGAAGTCAGGAGACATTTGCAACCTGAATCAAGAGAATTGCGCGGGTACCCTAGGAATTTCCAAGAAATTGCAGGCTCATGTCAACGCCGCAAGCTTCAACCACCAATAGCACGCGGAGACTCACAGGAAACGACCCGAAACCGTCGCGCAAACGAGCCTACTTTTCTCCGCACCGTACCTTACGTACCCGATAAAAACTTAATGCTTCGTGCAAACCCTGACAGTCAAATTTCGTCGTCGATGTAGCAGTTCCAATGCAAAGTCGGCACTCTGCTCTATGAATTCTGCAACCTGATCCAAGAGGATTGTGCGGATACCCTAACAATTCACGAAAAATTCGCGGCCTAAACCAACAGAATTACATAGGTACCTTACAAAATTACGAAGAATTTAGAACCTGAACCAGAAGGATTGCGCAGATAGCCTAGGAATTCACAAGAAATTTGCAGCCTGAACCAAGAGGATTGCGCATATACCCCAGGAAATCAGGAGAAATTTGCAGTCATCAAGAGGATTGCGCGGATAGCCTGGGAATTCCCAAGAAATTTGCAGGATTGCGCGGATATCCTGAAAATTCACGAGGAACGTGCAACCTGAACCAAGAGGATTGCATGGATACCCTAGGAATTCATCGTCCAATCTTAACCAAGAGGATTGAGGAAAATACCATAGGCATTCACGAGAAATCTGCAACCTGAACCAAGAATATTGCGCGGACGCCCTAGGAATTCACAAGAAATTCCAAATTCATGTCAACACCACAAACCTCAACCACCAGGAATGTGCGGATACCCACAGGAAACGGCCCGAAACCGTCGCACAAGCGAGCCTGCTTTCCTCTACACCATTATTTACCCGAAAAAAAAAATGTTTCGCGCGCATCCTAACATTCAAATCTTATCGTGGATATAGCAGTTCCAATGCACAGTCGGCACTCTTCTCTCTTCTATATCCTGAACCAAAAGAACTGCGCAGATACCCTAGGAAAGCACCAGAAATCTGCAACCTGAATCAAGAGGACTTCACGGATACCGTAAGAATTTACGAGGAACTTGCAGGCTGAATCAAGAGGATTGCACGCATACAAAAAGAATTCAAGAAATTTGAAACCAAAACCAAGAGGATTGGAAACACACCTAGGGATTTAGAGGAAACCTGCAACCTGAACCAAGGTATTGCGCGAGTAGCCTAGGAATTCACAAATCTGCAATCTGAATTTGAGAGAATTGCGCGGGTACCTTCAAAATTCACGAGGAATTTGTAATTTGAACCAAGAGAATTATGCGAATATTTGTTTTCTAGGAATTGACGACGCATTTCTAATCTTAACCAAGAGAATTGCGCAGATACCGAAGGCATTGGCGAGAATTGGACTTAATGATTCTTTGAATTATTTTTCTGTTTTAAAATATGATGTTTCGGATTTTTTCGAATTATTTTTGGTTAAGGAATATATATATTGGTCTGAATATTTTTTTAAATTATATTTTTAAAAAATATAATATAATAAACAAAATTAATAATATTTTGAATTATTTTTTTATTTTAATAAATTAATTAAAATTAATGATTGTTTGAATGATTTATATTTTAGGAATATATTATTTAATATTTATAAGATTTTTAATGTTAAAATTGTATTTTAGAAATATAATAATTAGAAATGATAAATTTAAATATATATATGTATTATATATATATAATTAAATTTTAAAAAATATTATTTGAAATTATTGTAAAAAAATATTAATTTTAAAAATAATATATGAAAAGAAATATGATTTATTATGATATATAAATGGTAGAATAAATTTATTGATATATCGAAAGGTAATTGAATTTTTTGTTTATTTAAATAAAATATATATAATAATTGTAATGGTTTTTTTTCGTATAATTATTGATTATAATATAATTATAATTATATTTATTATTGGAATATAGTGGATTTATAATGCTATTTTTATTGGGATTAGTGTATTTTTAATTTAATTATAATATAATTTAATATAATAATTAAAATATAATGAAATATAATATTAGAAATTATATATTGTTATATTTTAAAATATTTAAATTAATTATTTTATTTTGTATGATTCCCACCATAATATTTATATATTGTATTATTAATATTTTTTTTGATATTTTAGTTAATA